CTTGGCTCCACTGAACCTCATCCCAAGGATTCAGCCTGTCCAGATCCCTCTGCAGAGCCTTCCCAGCCTCCAGCAGATCTGTTTTTCCCCTTATTCAGGTTGGGGGCACCTGCAAACTGACACTCAATCCCCTTGTCCAGGCTGTTGATAAAGATGTTAAAAAAGTCTGGCCCCTCAGAACACCACTTACGATCGGCCATCACCTGGATTTCATTCCACTCAGCACCACTCTCTGGGCTATGAATGACTATGAACATCAATTACCTGGAGAAATGCAAGGATATTCTACATGGCAGCTGAATACAGAAGATATTTATAGCAACAGCAAAAAGACTGTTGAGGAACAGAGCGGAGTCACATGCAGGCAAAGAGAAGAGAAAGATGTGACTCATGAGACACAGAAAAAAATGCATGGCTCCTGAAAGAAGTGAGAGTGCAGCAGAAGTAACTCAGACTAGCTTCTTGTAAATAGGAGGTGGTCAGAAGGAGTATATGCTTGCAGTGAATAGACAGAACTTTTTAGTTAAAAGACATTGAATAATCATAACATTAAGATTTGATCTGGCATGGTGCTGAGGCAGCAGAAACTAGCATCACCAAATATATTTGCAAATAAGATGAAGAAAAAAACAAGGGCAAAGAATAACATGTAAGCATTATGAAAGCAAAAGCCAAGAAAATAATGAATGTATTTCCTAGTAGTTTTCACATTCTAATTACTTAGAGAAAAGATGAAAGAGTTCCATAGATTTATTTTTCAAAACAGGCTGTTAGTGCAAAAGAAATTCCAGCTTTGATATATGGGTAGACAAGTGGTTAACAGGACTGAGAACAATGATAAACAATGAAGCAGAAAACAAATGAGAAAACTAAGATAAATCTCATGAGCTTCCATGGAAAAAAATGGTATCACTTAAAAATAGATGGAAACAGAGAAGTGAACCTATGATATGAGGAAACAGACTTGTTTGCAGTGTTTGGCTACAGTCCCAAAATGGGGCAGTTACGCCATAGGTTGTATTAATTTAGAGAATATGGGGGGAATTGGCAAGGAAAAAAGCAGACCTTCATTAGCAAAAACAAGAACATTAACTGCATGAAGGAAAGCGATTCCCACAATAGAGCTAATGCAAAATCTATGCTGAAAATAGCAAAGGGGAAAATTGGAGTTTAGGCAACTCATAGGAATGAGTACAGAAGGGAGGAGTCTTGGGGAGGCAAATTGTTTGCAGCATTATATATAAAGGGATAGGGTGAGGAGCTGGTAAGATAAAGGAGGATAAGGAGTGAAAATACTTGATCAAAAAAACTCCAAAAACCTAAAACAAAAGAAAAAAAACCAACAGGGAAAAAAATTCACAGGTTATCAAAAAGGATAAGGAAGTTAAAAAATATTATGGAAATAAGATGGGAGAGATCATGTGGTTGGAGAACTTATTATTACAGATTAAAGAGCTGCTATGAAATCCTTTGTACCTGGTATGGTGGAGGAATAGTGAAGCAAATTAGATAGGCAGCAAAGGGAATTAATAATATGGAATAGGGAGTGAGGATTTACCAGTACCTTTGAAAATGAGGGAGGAGTAGAAATTAGATATTGCAGCCCGGAGGGCATCCCTGTAGAATACCTGATGAGATATATAAATAAGAGTGTACTCACTTGAGAATCATAGTCATGGTTTCTTTTCTGTCTTTCCCTTGGAAAGGTAGAGTACCAGTGAGCATTTCAAACTGTATAGAGTAAAACTTTCATCAATTACATTACCTGGACAAAAACTAATTTTTGACAAAACTACTTAGCATCTTAACCTTCCAAAATTCATGCACGTTAACAATCAAGTCTGCGCAAAACAACTTCATTGTACAATTTCAATTGCTAAGAACATTGAGCAGCCTTTGCCATTTTTAAAGCTGCAAAATATTTTCCTATATTGATAACTTGCTTTACATCCTTTTATCTGAACAACTTAGACTATAATGTTCTGTGTTTCATTTCTACCTAAAAAGTTTGTTCTAGGAAGACTTGATCTGTACAACTGTATTTTTAGTTTTAAACAAAGGGGAGGGGGGTAGGGAAAAAGGTTTTCCTTTCAAAAGTTAGTGATGATTTCTCCTCATGCAGAAATTTTTTAAAAGGTCAAAATTTTGAAAATTGGCATGTACATAGCCTTCATTGGGAAGGGGAAAGGTTAGCTGATTGACAAAGACATGCATGATGAAAAGTGGTTACTGTATGCATACAGTGGAAATAACGCCTGAAGGAACACGGAAGAGCTACACAGTACGTGCATGCACATTCTACAGTGCCTGGGCAGTAAGCAACAGACACTGCTAAAATACTGATTTGTTCTGAAAGTGACTGAGTAAAAATAGGTAAATATAAAGGCACTCCTGTTGGACTGCAGTATACTGCACGGATATCAGATCTAAGTGAGGCAGTGAAAGCAGTCTGGCAGCAGTCATGGCAGCCAACACTTAGGCAGAAATCTGATTTTTTTGGTTTAAAGATTGCAAAAGAATTTAGTTCAATGAAATTCCATGGCATACAGCTAACAACATAGAAATTAAAATAATTATAAAGGAACCCTCTGAACAGCATATGTAAACTTAAGTCATCCTGAACACAAGGTATCCTCTATTCCCTTTTTTCTGGTATGACACAAACATTCAGCCTCCTGTACATAAAAATTATATGTAGATAATTTGCATAAATAATGTATGACTGTAGTATTTGTAGATCTACAATAAGAGCATGAATCTGCACTAATAGTATTCTTTAAAATACCATTTTATTGAAATAAAATTTGAATTTCTTACTGCCATCTCTTCACTACTGGTAGATACTTTATACTTCAGATAATATTTTTTTACAGATATATTAAAAAAATTAAATTTAATAATAATGCAAACATGAAAAAAGCCTTCTTTTAACTTTAACATTAAGACAATTGTCAAGAAGCTGTGAGGGGGATAAGCCAGAATAAGAAGAAAAAACAAAATTGTTTAGAAAGATCGTCACAAGGTGCACTTAAAAAATTAAGCCTTTTAAAAAAGGTAAATTTGAAGTGCTCCACTTGCATGAAATACAGTTTCTTTAGCAAGCTCCTAATTTGTCACAAGCACACATTTGTATTAACAGCTCAACATGTGTATTCTTTGTCAACCCTCCCAAATACTATGTTCCAACATTAATAGGCCAATAGTGCTTAAAGAATAAGCCAACACCGGCCTTCCCTACTTATGTTTTATTTTAGGAGAAGAGTACCTCAGTGCTTCTGAAAACTTTAAATAAATGTTTTTACTTGTATGGCATTCCTTAAAACTGTCACTGTTTTAAATGACAATATAGTTCTTAACAATTGCTTAAACATACTTCGTGTTTAGCAGCATAAGAAAAGAAGCCAAACTATTTGTTGAAATATCTTTAAAGTCTCCATTTCTATAACTTCTGTTAACTCTAGTTTCTGTGTACTTACACCACACCAACCATCACTTGAATTTTTGATCAGCTCAGAAATTAAAAATGAGTTAAAAGTGGATACTTATAGATTGGTTATGAAAATTACAAACTATAACTGCAAGCAACATCTTACAGCAATTTTCAATTATACCATATCCACTTGAAAAACACCAAATTATGTTTTCCAGCTTCATAAATTAAAGCTGAAGTTTAATTATGTTTGTGTTATCAACAACGAATATTCTGCAACTACATTGTACTGATCTTTTAATTGACTGTTCTTAGTGATAAAATGTGCAGTTGTGAGGAGTGTGTGTGCCTGTCTGGAGAGAGTTCAGTTATCAGGTGCTACTTTTACAGTCAGTTTTCAGATCACAACAGCATTCTAATCATCATAAAGTGATAGGATGACCTATTTTCAGAGACAAGAGTCCTTCTTGTACTATGAGCACACACATTAGTTGTACTGTTACAGTTATGTAGCAGAAGCAGTAAGAAATGAATACATTTATACAATTATTTAATTTCCATGTCAAAAATGCACACAAATATTTTAAATATTAAAAGTTTTTCAGCATTCCTTCCTTAAATACCAAACATGACCTACTATCCTTTTCCAATTCATATTCCATATACATATTTCCCTTGACCTTGCAACTTTACAGTAATTACCCCTTGCAGAAACACGATAAGCAACTGAGAAACTATATCCCATATCAGCTCAGTGTCATTTAGATAATTTTGATGTGTGAGAACAACAGTTGCCATTATTCCACTAACTTGCAATTACACTGTATACTCTAATTAGAAAGCTACCAATCTCCTTTTTCCTCTTGAATCTAAATTCAAATTTAAAATTTGAATACTAATTTCTTCCCCACTTTGAAGTACTTTTTTCTGTATACTTCTATATTTCTCTTGGTCCCCATAACACTCAAACTACTATAGATATAAAGTATTTGAATTAAATGATAATAAAAATATGGCATATTATTGGTGTTGATATGATACCTCATCCATGTTCCTGATCAAAGTCTGAGGTGTTATTAATTTCACACAATTTAGACTTCCTTTGTAGTTAAAATTTATGTAAAGCTCACCTTAGGGGTTAGTGTTTAATTTGTTTCACCAGACCTTGCAAATCACAACTTTGCTATGATTTACATTTACCAGAAACCTACCATTAAAACACCAAAAGACCACCAGTCTGCACTCTGTGTATGGCCTCGTCTGTTCACAACTTCTGGTGCCATATATTCCACTGTTCCACAGAACGAGTAGGCTTTTTTTTCATGATCAATTGACTCCTTACTTAAGCCAAAATCTGAAAGGAAAAAAAAATACCAAATGTAATTAAAAAAACCAAACACTAATGGTTGATACTTTTACCATAACATGAAGTGTTATGCTTTTATCATTCCTATATACAACTGAACACTAATATAGCAATTACAGGATTCTCCTTCCCTCCCCACATTATCATAGATCCGTAACATCAGATATACTTGTAAAGCAGATATCTTATTGAAATATTTACAGATTTCATTTATTTCAAGCTAATTACATTATTTGCTTCCACAGCTAAATTACTGATCAGTTAAAATTACTTATTTTATCATAATGGTTTACCAAAAGGAAAATGCAAAGATTTTACTATGAACAGAAATGATCCTAGTATTGCAACTCCTTTATTCACCTGTCAATTTGATATGTCCTTCCTCATCAAGCAGGATGCTAAAAAACAATAAAAAGAATATAAAAAAACTAATTAAAATATATTTTAAAGTGTTGTTTCAGATAACATACTGACAACATTTAGGAATAAACAATAGGGGATAAACAAACACAGAGACTCAAACACGCATGAAAATGAATTATTAGAAGACAGATTCAAACTACACATTTTCTTCTCACTCTTTCTTTTTAAAGATTAAGAAAAAGGTTATTTGAGTTTTATTCAACTATTTGATTAAATTCAATATGTAGTAACAGTTTTGGCCATCGGCACCACATGCAGCACTATTGTAATTATTAAAAACAGAGGCATAGTTCTATTTCTCTTATACCAGGTATGTTTTCATATGTATACACAACAGGTATTTGTATATTGTAATTACCATTTCAAAAGTTGTTGACCACTTCAAGTAACAAGAAGTAATAAATATTCTCATGTTGTACCAAAGGACAGGACCACAGGCCCTATACTCGGAGCAGAACTTAGGCTTCTGCCTTTTCACTTCAATCACAAGAAAGGCCACACTTCTCCGAGATGCCAACTGTCCTTGACCACCACTGAATATCACTGCTTTGCAAAGCATGCAAAGTATTCAAGAACTGGATTTTGTAACACCCCCTACACGGTGGATTTATTTCCTACACCTGGGGTAAAACATGACCCAGACCCCATCCCCTTGCACTGTGCAGTTGCCATGGCAGGAACCATTAAAGCATGTCCTTAAGTGCCATATGCAAACATTGCCTTCCTGCCCACCAGCAGATCAACACTTCCACCCAACTTGGGGTTGTGTGTGGGATTGCTCAGGGTGCACTCAATCCCCTCATCCAGATCTCCAATGAAGATGCTAAACAGGTCTGGTCCCAATACACAGCCCTGGGGAACAACACTGGTGACCAGCCTCTGGCTGGATATAATTCTATTCACCACCACTCTCTGGGTCCAGTCATCCAATCAGTTTTTTACCCAGTGAGGAGTGCACCTGTCCACACCATGGGAAGCCAATTTCTCCAGGAGAATGCTGTGGGAAACTGTGTCAAAGGCATAGAATCACAGAAGATAAGGGGCTAATATATATGTCTCAAACACAGAAAGTCATTTGGCTCTGGGGTCAACCACAAATTGTTGTTAATGAGAGATAAGAATTGCTAGTAATAAGCAAAGATTGCTGGTAATCGTGAGAAAGAACAAGATGTGCCCAGAGAAGAGGCCATGCAGATATAGTGCAGCACTTTTCCAGAACAAATCCTTGTTCTAATTCCTGAAGATAAGCACAACCCAGTACAGCACAAGCGCAGGAATGGGGTTGACAAGCAGGCATGGACTGCATGGGAAGAAAAGACCACCCAATATTCCCAAAGACCCCTAACACATTTCCAGAAAGATGTGAAAGAACAGACTGTGCCTAACAACTCATTTGTCCCCACCATGCCCAGGAGTGCCCCTGGACACTGGATATCCCCATCAGTTGGGTCGACACTGTAGCCAAGACTGGTGATCGCTTTCTCTCCTCCTCTTTCTCCCTCTTTAATTCACCTTTCCTTTTCACTCTTCCTTTTCATCTCACCCCTTTATCCAAACCCCATTGCATGTGCTTTTATAGTAGGTCAGGGACTAATAGAGTGATTTCCATGCCAGTATATATGCATATATACAACTTACTAATAAAACCTTGTAATTTTTTTCAGACCCTCTGACTTTTGTTATTCCTTTCCCCCACAAGCATTTACATACCTTGGTAGTCCTTTCCCCTTAAGGGTTGGATGTCACAAAAGGCTTTACTAAAGTCTAGGTAGACAATATCCAGAGCCTCTCTCTCATCCACTAAGCAAATGACCTCACCGTAGAAGGTGGTCAGGCTGGTCAAGCAGGAACTTGCATAAACCCAGGCTAGCCTGGCTTGAAACCCCAGTTGTCCTGTACACATTACATGATGGCACTCAAGATGATGTCTCCATGACTTTTCCTGACAACAAGGTCAGGCTGACATACCTATAGTTTCCTTGGTTTTCCTTCCAACCCTTCTTATAGCTCGGTGTCACATTTGCCCACTTCCAGTGACTTGGGACCTCCATGGTTGACCTGGACTACTGTTAAATGACTGAAAGTGCCTTGATGAGTTCTTCTACCAGCTCCCTCAGTACTCTTGGGTGAGTCCTATCCAGTCCCATTGACTTTTGGAGTTCTAAGTTGCATAGCTGGTCATTTCCTCCTAGAAGAGGTTTCATTCTGCTCCCAATCAGTCTTCCAGCTCAGAGAGCTGGGTACTTTGACAACAACTGGTCTTGTTATTAAAGACTGAAGCAAGAAAGGCATGAAGTACCCCAGCCTTTTCTTCATCCTTTGTCATTATGTTTCCCTTCATATCCAACAAAGGATGGAGATTCTCCTTAGTCCTCCTTTTGCTGCTGATTTGTACAAATTTTTTCTGGTCATCTTCTGCTTCTGGGATTTTGAACATATCAATACTCCTTTCATCCTTGCTGCTGCCAGGACCTCCATCCCTTAACTCTCCTGCTATAGCAGGTAAAGGACCTTGTTAGAGCACTGTGCCTCAAAGAGTGGCTTGTCAGCCCCAGGCTTACCTCTGGCTTTGTACCCATTCCCCTTCAAACAGTTTAAAGTTCTCTCAACAAGCCCCTGTAACTCCTGAGCTAAGATCCTTTTTCCTCTTTGAAACAGGTAAAATCCAACCTTTTAAATGAAAATAGCACATAAACCTCCCCCACATCCCTCTGTTCAATTTATAGAGTAAATCATCAAAGTTTAACAGTTGGGAAAAAAGTGCATAGGAAGAAGAAGATATAGAAATGAGATTAATACACTGCATAAGAGGAGCCTTACTTTTCTGGTTTTAGGTCCCGGTATATTATTCCAAGACTATGTAGATGGTCTAAAGCAAGTGCTAATTCTGCCAGATAAAATTTAACATCGTCTTCTGTGAACATCACCTGAAAAAGTAATACAATGTATTTCACATGTGAAATCTGAGAAAGTTACACCAGCACCAACTAAACAACAACAGTGGCTTTACAGAAGGGTTTCTTACAATACTTGAATTAATCTCTACACAAAACATTAGAAAAGACAAATTTCTTGGTTACACAAAAACTAGGGATTTTATAACCCACGCTATTTCATACTTGAAATACTTGGACATACTTGAAAAAAGTTTTAAAGGCAATATATTGTTCTTTCTGCAAACTGGGAGATTATCTGTTTCTGATTGTTCAGGAAAACAGACAAACATGTTGTAGTGAAACTGAAATATTTTGGAAGCACTTAAAGAACATGACTACCTCTTGGATGGGAGCATTTCATTTACAGACAACAAATGGACCAAGGAAGTCCAAATGCCTCAATTTTATCTATGAAGTAAGACAGAAGAAAAGTATAAGTATCTTGGTTTTGGAAAGACTGTCTCTAGGTACTTTGAGAAGGAAGCTACAGCAATGGTAAAAGCCCCAAGGTGCAGCCTGAGATGCAGAAAAGGCAGATCAAAGAGTAAACTAAGTGAACAGGAAGGATCTCAGGTAGTAATCCCACTTTTTGGATTAGGAAGATAAACGAATCTTTATGTTCATTGAAATGCACATATTGTCCCAACGTATCAACTGTCATGATCCCTGACAGAATACATTATAATTCTTCTGAGACTGCAGAAAAAGATAAAAATAAAAACAGAACTTGCACAATTTGGTTCTATTTCAGTTACTACTCAGTCATTTTATTTGCTCTGTTTTTAGAATCTAAGACTAATACTGTAAGATAAAGCATACAGACCCATAAAAAAGAATGGCAATAGGGAACAAAGCTGAACATTATTTTCAACAAGAGTTAAGAATGGAGAATATTTTTCCCCTTAGTAGTTTCATGAGAGAAAGCAACACTAAAGCTTGTACAATAGGTTGTTGCTGATGTTATTTCTATAAAAGAGCCAATATTTAGTGCAGATATATTCAAGATAAGAAACATTTAAAAGCTCAAATAATAGAAGATTCCATGAGAAGGATAATACACCCACACTACATTATTTAAAACCATTGCATGGGACTCATCTTTCCTACCCTTAAACATCTGCAGTGTAGATATCTAGTTTTGAATTAATCACCTTTCCCTTTGTAGTCAATAGGAAAAAAGCAACAACTTCTAGTTCATCTGATCTATTTCAACACATGAAGGATGACCTTAATAGCATCCAGCATGCCCATTTCACTCACCAGTTGTGCACACTTTGCTTAAATTCAGGTACCTATAATAGATATTTCTCATCTAACCACATTAAATTTTATAAATTGTGAGTGGCTCAGGATGAAAAAGTCATCAGCAGAAAGCCAATATTCATTCATTTTTGGGAATCAAGAATGAACTACAAACTTTAAGACTATCTCAATTTAGGAGCACTAAAAACTGATTAGTTATCCGTGGCAAAACAAACGAGAAAGGGCAGCTTGAAACAGATAGCAGCATCAAAAAAAAATGTAATAATTTATGTGGTCAGCACAGAGGTAATGTACATCTATATACAAAGTAAATTCCATTCTATTCTCCTCTTAATAACAATACAGCTTTGCAGTGGTAACCCAGCTATCCCAGATACTGTGGCAAAGGAAAATGCAAAGCAGCTACAACTCCAAGTTCAGGCTACAAGATACACATTGGATATAATCTCTGTCCTAACAGATATTTATTGTGAGTTTTTGAACAGGAGTAATGGATAACAAAAACTTTAAAAAATATGGTGATATATTGGATGCTAACATTTATTTTAGAAATTATAATCAAATTAAATTGAGGTAATGAAACTCTTCGAAGTTATTTCCTATATCAAAACAGACATATTACTATCATGACAGAGGCAAAACATTCACTTTTTGAAAATTACTAAAATAAGTGGAGTACAATTCTTGCTTTTAAAATACTCATACATAACGGAATTTTGCATTCATGGATAAAAAAAGACAATATCTTATCTGCCCTGAATTCTGGATAAACCAGACATAAATTGACTTTATATAAATCCAGGTTCTAAGTCTTATATTTAAACATGGTAGCATCAGGAGAAGATTTTGCCAGGTATAAAAAGCAGGACAGAAAGACTGCTTATCTAAGATTTTGTTCAGAAATAATGTAAATTGCCATCAGCCCTTCCATGAAGTGACTATGCAAAAAACCCCAAACAAAAATTGTACCAGGTTAAAAACAGATTAAAATTTTATTCAATGAAAACTGAATTTAAAATGTATACTCTCCTAATACAGACAATTTATAGTCAAATTATATCAACAGACAATTTTTCAAATTTAAAAAGTGTACCTCTTTGGATAAACGTGTAAACAAGTCTCCTCCCCTGAGAAAATCCAAAATAAGATACAGCTTCCCTTCTGTTTGAAAAGCTGAAAAGATCAATTAAAAAATTAAATACCACCTAACTTTATCCATGATCAGGAAAATAACTTACCAAATAATTCATGTTTATTTTCATTATTAAAATTAATTTCTCTTTCTCCCTTGTGGAAAAATCTATTGAAATAAATTAGGCAACTGATCCTCTCCCATGGACCAAGTAATTCCCATGCTATGTGAAAGTAAAGCAAATTACCAATAAAATTCCTTTAGAAATAAACTTTACTTAGGTTAGTCAGCATTTTATTCCAGATTTTAAAGGGTCAACTAATAACTAATGAACGTTTTAAAATCTTTAGAAACTCAGCTTAACAAGGTCTTTTAATCTAGTTTGCAAAAGAATTGCAAATAAAATAGTGAAAGGTACATAATTTAAGCCACATCAGAAAGTCAGAGAGACATGAGGCTTAACTAAAAGAAAAAACAAACCCTGAAAGAAAAATATAAACTAAAAAAAGCCAAATCAAAACAAACCAGAAACTCCATCTTTTCTTTACGTGTTAAAAGTACTGATATCCTCCCCCCTTTACACATAAGTATTCTGTTACAGTTGCTCATACTATTGGAATGAAAAGGTTAATTTCCACCAATTTTGATGCAAGTGGAATTAATGCCATTGCTTATGTTTTCCCCTGAGTAAACAAAAGCAACTGTAAGAAATAACTTCAAAAGTGTATGTCATACAAAAGGTTAGAGGTTTTGGAAAATAATGGCTAGTTATTAATAGGTAAGTGCTTTTAATAACACAAAGGGCTACAGACTCATAGTCCCATACAGATTTAACACTGCATGAAGTCCAGCACGTGCTTCTTTTGCACGAGAATTATTATAAAGTGAGTCTTTGCACAACTGGGACTTAACACACTGAAGTTCTATGATTTTCTGAGTCATAAAGCAAATATGAGGAACTGTCTTGACAAACACACATTTTTACACCAGAAAAATGAATTTTTCTGCAACTCACCATAATGTAACTTGACAATAAAAGGATGATTAACTTCTACTAGAATATCGCGCTCCATTTTTGTCCGGACCCGATCTCGAACTACAAGAGAACATAAGCAAGCAGGATTAAAAAAAAAATTACATTATGACTCAGTACGTCTCATATTTTTCCTGATGTACTTCCCACTGTGCCTTGTAATAATATAATTATCTGCTGGCCACTATACTGTACACAGCTGAGAATTGAGAGAATTTATTCTACCTTTTTTTCTGATAAATATCTCTATGCATTTTTATTTGCTTCAGTTTTTGCTATTGACAAAATCTAACACTAGGCAAATAAATTTAACAAAAGCACATGAGAAAACATAGCCCCCCCTTCAGTCTGCTCTATACTTAGTTAGCCTTTTAAACATTACAGCAAAAGTGCCATGGCTATGTATAGAAAACATCCTGCTGGTGAAAAGCATTAAAGTCGTAGCAAAACAAACACAGCATAAATATAATTATACTATTATAAAGATGTTAATATTGGTTTAACTCATTAAATAACTCACACTAATAAAATATTAAGTCCTTTGCAATTTGGAATAGAATTTTTTTTCATTTCCTTTATTATGAATTTCAAATAAAAATTACATTGATTCAATGTAGTGTATACTTCAGACTATATTTTTGATTTTAAGGACATTTATTGAGAGTAAATGTGCATGGAGAAATATATCAGATATTAGAAGCAGTTGCTGCTCAAGCTGCCTCTGCTGTCCCTCCATGGTGGCTCTGAACAGGACATGCAAGTGCTCCTGTGCCACCAGAGATGAAACCCAAATGAGCATCACATGCCAGCAGTGCAGGAGTACAGGCAGGGCAGTCAGCTGAGCACAGCACCTGCTTCAGCTGTTCTCCACAAGTCTCCTGCCAGCTCCAGCCAGGGCTTGGCTCCCATCTGAAGCTTTGAATCAGCCAAGACACAGACAAAACTCAGTCCTCCACACAGGGGAGAGCTATCAAAGTTTGCTTTCCGTGGTTTAAGATGTTGCATTTTTCTCTTTCCCTCTATTCTACATTTTGTTACTGCTCCTTTGGCAAATATATCTTCCTGAAGTTTCCCTCAGAGCAATGAAGTCCCATTCAAAGTTTAAGTTGACAGCATTCCTTGTACAGTTAACAAGTCAGAGTTCTCCAATATTAATACATAAGCAGGCAGGAAAAAAAAAAACCAAACAAAAAGCACCAAGAGGCAAAATGGTGTTTAGGCATTTATCTGTCTTTTCCCAGAAACAGCAACTTACAATAATACAGATACTTATGAAAAAGTTATATAGATATGTTTACATGAATTAATACAACTATGAAGTTTCCACCTGCCTGCAGAACACATTCCTAAAAATCAGAGCTCATTAAATAAGCGCTCAAATACAGAGCAAACATCAACATCTGAATGTTGACCTTTGCATCTAAAGTCATTAAAATATCACAAGATAGTTGTGCAGTTCAACTGTTTCAGCAGTTCATCAGAATTACAAGATTGAAATTCAGAAATCTTTTTTTTCCGGCAAGTGGAGGTGAGGAAAAAATTTAAAAGACTTTCAAGTGTCTGCAGCTATGCAACAGTTACACGGAAAGTATGAACTTAAAAAACTCCAAGCAAAAAACTGTAAAGAAGTGAGCTCATTTCAGACATTAGCATAAGCCATTATTTGATTTGACATGTGATTTTTGTTTGTAATTTCCATATGTATTCTACTGGAAGCACTGATTTTTCTTAATACATTTGATTCCAGACGCTCTGGCAATATTTGGCTCTGTTTTTTCCTCTGCATCATAAAGGGGCACTGAAAGATAACACCTTCTATCAGAGTGTATTAATAAACTAGCCTCTGTAGTAAACAAAATTATATGTATGTATTATTGGATTTGCTCTAAATATTAAAAACTTGGACTGTGTAGTTACATCAATGTGTTCTGGCTAATATACCTTCATTTCTATGAAAATATTCTCTCTAATTTTGATTCGTGCATCAGGTACACTGTTTTTAAGTGTGTTCTTTTTATCTTTAATTATAGAGCACAAAAATAACTTTATGAAATAGATTTGAAAGAGCTAAAGAGACAAATCAAGTAATATGCTGTTTTATTAAAAATACAGTATTTTATATATTTAAAAGGTTGCAATTATGGAAGATAAAATTTATTCCAGTTAATTTCATACTAAAGTTTTAACAGTAACCTTAATTTGCTTACAACTCTGCTCTTCCTAAAACATGAATCACAAGCAAGCAGTGCATAAAAAGCATCTGATAATCCAGATACAAACTATTGAGAACTGTGGCATCCTCCTGATGGTGTCACCTTTCTGCTCAAGCCTTTTGCATCATTGAATTCTCAGTGCCCAGAGACTCTCCTTTCCCAGTTAAAAGTCACGTTCCCAATTTTAGTGTTTATCAGTCTCTCCCACCCTGTAGGCAAAACTAGAACTACAGCTTGTGCTGAGAATTTTTACACAAGGTTAAACTGCAATCAAAAGGTGATGAAGACAAGCCCTCAAACATCTTTAAAAGGCAACTGCTGAGTGACCTTTGACCAGTCCTGAGCTATTAACAGGACTGAAAAGCTGTTGAGGATATTAATGTACCTTAAATGAGTGGAAATCAATTTCAGAAAAGTAGGAAGTAAATAATGAGAGCAACACGTGCCACAAAACACAAAGGAATCAAAATATAGGAAACTATTCAAATACGCACCCTCTGTAATAGTTTTAAGTGTAAGCTCTGTGACATTCAGCACTAAATCTTAAATGAAAAACTTTCAACATTTCAGCAGAAGTTCATAATCCAATGTTTTTGTTCCCTTTATCATTCTATAAATATTTTGCAATAAAATGATATATTAAAACTGAAATTCAATGTAATAATCAATAACATAGGTAAAACACTACAAGCTGTTGGAGCCATCCCAAAATTATAATTTCAGTTTCAGTACAGCCATGAATTAGTAGAACTTCACATAGACAAAAGTATTAAAAAATGGCATAAAAGAACAAGCATATAATCTGGTTAAGACATTAGTGTGAAAGATGACTTTCATTTTGATCTATGGTAAAAAATACCTTTTTTCTTACAGAATTCTCTGAGACAGAACTGAGATTGTTCAGGCTTAGACTTATTTTGCTACTGATAGCATTCAATATCAAAACCACCCAAGAACCAGATCAACTCACGATTTGTTTTTGCTCAAATAACTTAGATTATTAACTTAAGACCTTATAAAATACATTCTGTAACAAGATCATATACAGTACATTTGCCCAAAACTCGTGGGCACATGTCTATTTAAAAAAAAAAAAAGGCTTTAAGTCATGTGCTTAAGAACTTCTAGAATAAAACAGCAGATATAATGTGCTTTTAAATATCATGACCTAATTATAAACTGAGCAAAAGGCATTAACTGTATCCTTGGTGACACACAGCAAAGGAAAAACGGAAGGATATTAAGTTTCAAATAACAGCTCAGGAGCAAGTCAGATGGCAGATGTAACCCAACCACTGCATTAACCCACCATCACCTATGGAAACTGGCATGGGAAGGACCCTGCTGTCCTCTCTAATACCAGTATGGTATTGTTAATTCTTAGTACTTCCAGGTTTACAAGACAAAGCAGTGTATTCTGCTATTTTCTGTTGCAGAGAAGAAAGCTGTAAGACACAATCTGTAGAGCAGCATCTGTGTAAAGATTAGGTTTTGGTATAATGTCACTGACTTCTCTTTTTTATTTCTCTTCCCTTGTTCTAAATAACACTTACCTTTCAAGGTGGCCTTTTTCAATACCTTCATTGCATAAAGCTGTCTTGCATCTGATCCTGAGATTTTTTTGACAAGGAAGACCTGCATTAAAAATTAGAAAGAATTCTTAAAAGAAAATAAAAGCAAGTCAGATTAATGCATTTTGCTATGAAATTCAAGTAGTCACTATGATTTCAATGAAACTCTATTTGACAATTTTAGATTCTGCAAAGCCAAACCACCTTTCATTTTTTTCTTCTATTCTTTTATTTCGTAATCTAAAAGGCTCATTCAGGATACTCAGTCAAATTAATTTCGGGCTAATTTAAACTATTTCAGTGAGTACAAAAAAAAAAGATTCTCTCAGAAGTTCATCCAAACTTAAAACACAAAAATCAGCTTTTTAAAATTAATCTCTAGTTTTATCATATTGATATTCATAGGATGGCACAGCAAATGCGCTAATAAAATGATTTTCAGATATGACAATAAATAGGTGAACAAAATTTGATCCATAAACCTATATAAATCAATGTATAACTAAATAAATTTTAAAAATATCCCAGTGTTGCATGTACAAATAAAGAACAACCAGCCTCAATTAAAGCGTGTTTCATTTCCTTCTTCAGTGTCATGGGATTTTTGACTGGTATTGTTTTTAACACCCTTAATACAAATTAATTCCAGTAGAGACAAATTTTAGATTTAGAAATGAAAAAAAAAAAAAAAAAAAAAAAAAAAACCCCAACTCTCACAGGTTTTCTGGCTATGGACATGCAAAGAGACATGTTGTGGCACATGAAGTTAAACATGTTATATGAAATCAGTTTGGTGTCTGGTTTTGTGCCCAATTCTCGCTTATGTTAACATCCCTTGCACTATTACCCAGAGACTACCAGATCATCACCAGACTTGGAAAAGCATGCAGATTTACCTTTTTTAAACTAAATGGAATATTCACAAATTATTAGAACAAAATTATTTATGGATTTTTTAAAGTATTAATTTTTGCATAAAGGCTAAGACAAGACTGAAGACAAGAGTGACATTTCTGCAGAAATTTGAGTCAGCTAGACAGCTTATTATTTTTGCTATTTTAAAAACTCACATTCCTCCTTCTCCCTCCAATTAAAGTACTGAATTTAGCATTATCAATAAAAGTCATTGCTGAAATGATCATTTATTAGCTTACTTTTCCTTATCCTTGAATGATTTACTTCTTGTGATCTGAGGATTTCCAAATAAAAACTTGGTTATGATTGTGGATTAAATCAAACCTTTGGAATCAGGTTTCCCAGCGAACTCTTACTGCATGAGTACAAAATTTTATAGTTTCTAAGCACTTGGATTTCCAAACTTAACTGGAACAACAATGTGACTAACAGCAACTTACGACCACCAAAAGAGAATTGGACCTATTTGTCTACTTTTCCCCATACCTAAGATGGATTTTTTACAAGCTAGAGCTTAACATCACAATCAGAACTGCAATTACAGCTGCAAATGGATATAAACACTCTGCTGTCTTGCCTTATATATTCCATTCAGTCTTGATGATCTGTCTTGCCATGTGAACTTAATTTTTTGCTTTCAAGTTGGATTTGGACAACTAAAAGTACAAAAAATTTATACCTAGTGAGATCTCAGTACTCACAAAATGCTAAAAACATTGAGTCTTTAACAGATGTTCAGATAAATATCATGGTACATTGCACCTTAACCAGATTATGACAGCTAATGAACGTGACTGGGGTGTATCACATTTACTTCAGTAGTCATTATTGCCTAAAATTCGTTCATTACAATTGTAACATGCTAAAAAAACAGCTTCTGTACTGATAATGTCCTACCATTAGCAAGCAACAAGGAAGACTTAGCAAAAAAAAAACAAACCTTTCAACCCTCACCCTCTCAAATAGAGAAGAGTAGCTAAAGAAGAATGACGTTCCATTTTAACAGTAAATTCCCAATTATTTAATATCATGCCATTTTTTCTATTGAACTTCAAAATCCACATATCATGCTAACATGAAAAAAAAAATTACTGCTTTAAAAAGATCTTCTACAATTACAGTGCCTAGTTATTAGCACTAATTTATAAAGCAATTTTCACTTACAATATTGCCTTAATGCAAAACCATGGCTGTTCTAATACTTCACGACCAATAGTCAATGCTATATTCCTGAATAATTGGCTCCACAGGAGTTCAGTTACCAACCTTTCCAAAAGATCCTTGTCCTAGTACTTTCAGAAGTTCAAACTGTGAAGGGTCTGCTTTCTCATGTCCTTCCTTTACATGGTGAGTTATTGCAATTTCTTTGATACTTCCTTCTTCCTGGCAGAGGAAAACAGAGGAATAAATTTAGATTAATGGTTTACAAATATTTACAAATTCACAATATGTTGAAAAATACCAGTGCCACTGAAACCAAAGAACTAGACGATGCCAAATATAAGCAAAAAACCTCTTAGCAATGCTGTTTGCATAATTAAGACAGACAGCACTAGCTGAGTAACAATGTAGCCTAAACTTTGAGATGCACCAGGATCCAGACAATAATAGAGCAGACAGAAGTCAGCAATTCCCAAGCTTTTTCTCTTGGGCTCATTATTGGGTTCATATTTCTGTTCCGGATTCACAACCAATTAATGGAAACCGATCTTTTTAAGAATTTAGTCATCTTAAAGCACACCCAGAGTGCATCAAATGGACCAGATGTCTTTGGGAAGGCCTCCTTTTTAACACTTGAATGGGGACCACTATGCTGCAGCAATGCTGATGCTCACCTTTTAAGAGTGTGAGACTCAAGACATTTCCACCTAAAGCAACCCTCTCCACTCCCACTTCAACAGCAGACTCCACCTGCCACTGACAAAATGTAAGTATTCTGCCTTTCTTCTCAAGGAAAATCTATCCTATAAAAGCTGCCAGACTTCATCCTTTTCCCATCTGTGAGAAACTGGTCACCAGAAAGCTCGAAGCAGCAGTGAATATTATCTTCTCGTGCTCTGCACTTAAGTCAGTGTTTTCTGCACTGAATTTGAAAATCCCCTGAAAAGTGACACTCCTTGCCACACAAGGAAAGAATTTCAGAAGTTATCAGCATCAAGTAAGTAAAAAACCTACATTCTTGTCAATGTCATCTGAAGATGACATCTATCTAGGTATTACATGCAATCCAATCTACTCTAAGTCAACACACAACTGACTGTTAGTTAACATACAGAAAGCAATATACTATCTACAGTTTTAACTTGTTGTTTATTCTCTATTTCTTCTATGTGTTATAGTGAATAAAATAAATCTGAAAATACTTTTCATCTATTTAATGAGGAACTCAGACCTGTTTCACAGAATTGCAGACTGGTTGACATTACAAGGAACTTCTGGAGATGATCTTGTCTAACCCTAAACCCTCTGCTCAAGCAGTGCCACCGAGGGCCAGCTGCCCAGGACCTGAATATCTCCATGGATAGTGACAACATCCTTGTGCAGCCTGTGCCAGGGCTCAGCCAGCCTGACAGTGAAAAAGTATTTCTTGATGTTCAGACAGAAAACTCCTGCATTTCCCTTCTTGGACATTGCCTCTGGGCAGCACCGAAAAAATCTCTTGGCACCCTCCATTTAGGCTGGTCAAACCTCATTTCACCATTGTGAATCCATGCTGAATGATCCCAGCTACCTTTTTGTCCTCCATGTATGTATGTTTCCCTGAGGATTAAGGCCTGGCTCACCAACCCGTAGTTCCCTGGATCCTCCTTCTTGCCTTTTTTGAAGATAGGAGTAGACATTTGCTTTCCTTCAGTCCTCAGTCACCTCTCCTGGTCATCACAGTAATTAGAAAATAATCAAGGGTGGCCTCACAACAACAGCTGCCAGGTCCTTCAGCACTCGTGCATCCCATCAGGGCCCACAGACTTAGGTACACCCTGCTTGCTTAACTATTCTCTAACCTATCCAGTGGCAGAACCTGAGGGAATGGCCTGAAGTTGTGTCAGAGAAGGTTTAGGTTGAATATTAGGAAAAGGTTCTTCATCCAGAGGGTGGTTGGGCACTGGAAGAGCTCCCCAGGGAAGTGTTCACAGCACCAAGCCTGACAGAGTTCCAGAGGTAATTGGATAATGCTCTTGGGCACATGGTGTGATTCTTGGTGACAGTGCTGTGCAAGACCAGGAGCTGGATCCCAACGACCTTGATGAGTCCCTTCCACCTTAGGATATTCTATGATTTTCCTCTAAGAGTACATCTTCCTTGCTCCAGTCCTTCCCTTCATCTATATGCACCAAAATGTTCACTAATTAGTTAAAGTGATAGATTAGTAGAGGCAGAGTTCTAAAACTGTGTTTCTGAAGTGCTAATTTGTACGTTTTCCAAGCAAAATTTATGTGCATGAATTAGTGCTGAAAGTGTCCTTTTGCATCTGAGCTCTTCAGTACTGTATATGTAATGCAAAGCAACTGTCCACCCAGGTCACACATGCTTCTCCCACACTGCCAATTCTTCTTCAAAAAATTACCAAGTTGGAAACAAGCTGCACATAAGAAATCCTAGGAGTGTGTGTGAGAGCCTGTATATATTTAAAAACTCCAGCACATGATTTGGAATAATGCACAGAACATGCTGGCAACTTTTAAAATCAGGGAGTGAAAAAAGATATTTCAATGTGAAGAATATAGTTTTAAGAATAGTTTTAAAATATCCAAAGCAAATCCAAGATGTCCTCTAAGTTTAGGTGCCTGTTTCCATTTTAACACAGCCAAGATTTTCCATGTGTGTGCACATAGGCATGCTGAGTACTCCACCTAATAACCTGAACTTCTCTGTCTTTCCAGGAAAAAAAACTACCATCATTTACTCCCAGCTGAATCTCTACAGAGTCTGAAAGAAATATTGTTTCCTTTTATTCATCAAAGGAATAAATTTCTGGTGGAAATTTTCGGTTTTATCTTTTAAATTAGTATGTGATCAGTGCGATTACATACTACTTAAACCACCCACTGAATCTTAGAGAATCCCAAGGGAAGAACAGAACAGCTCAGCAAAACAGGCTGCCAAGTACACATTACTTCAGATACTTTGATCCAATTCTGCTTAACTGTTTTATCTATTTGCTCCCTAGCAATCTTGGGAAAGTCCAAAATATGTGAAACAGAACGTTCTCAAATAATTTTATCTACTGCCCTCAGGGATGCAAAGTAATCAGGTGGACATAAGGACATGCTACTGCTGGAGCAAGTCCAGAGGAGGGCCATGAATTTGGTAGGAGGACTGGAGCACCTTCCCTATGAAGACAGGCTGAGAAAGTTGGGCTTGTTCAGCCTAGAGGAGAGAAGTTGGCATGGAGACCCCATAGCAACCTTCCAGTATCTAAAGGGGGCCTACATGGAAACCAGAGGGGGATCCCTCATTAGAAACTGCAGTGATGGGACAGGGACTAAAGTGTACAAACTGGAAGAAGGGAAATTTAGGTTGGGTATTATGAAGAAATTCTTTACTGTGAGAATGGTGAGGTACTGCAATAGGTTGCCCAGGGATGTTGCAGTGGCCCCAACCCTGGCAGTGTTCAAAGCCAGGCTGGATAATGCCTTGAGCAATGTGATCTAGGGAGAGGTGTCCCTGCCCAGGGCACGTGGGTTAGAATTAGCTGACCTTTATGGTTCCTTCCAACCCAAACCCTTCTATGATTCTATATTGCATTAAAAGCATTACAAAACTCAGTAAGTACGAGAAAAGAAGAAAATATAATAACTTGCTCTCTATACACAAACAAAAATTATTATTTTTGAATGCAATGCAATTATTATGCAACCAACTTTCCAGTGGTTATTTTGAGCACCCTCTAAAAAACAAAACAAACCCCAAACCACCACTTCACATTCCTGATACCAAGAGAATATTCCCAGACTTTGCATTTTCTCAGGGCTCAGTTACTCTTCAGTCCATAAAAGGCAGACCTAATAGAACTCTGTTTTAAACAAAAAGGAACTTAAATGATATCCAACTTTAGTTTGTTGGTAACACTTGTTTGGGAGCAAGATTTATGATGAGCGGTTGCCCACAAATTTGCAGTTTCCTTTTCTGACATAACTGATGAATGTTTGTTATTTTAACCTAAACAGTGTTCTGCAAATGCAGTTAAAAATACAAAAGCTAAGCCTTTTATAGAAAGACAAATTCTGTGCAGAGGTAATCAAGTCTCACTATCTACCTGAATTGAAATACAAGTCTTACACACTGTAGAAAGAGATCTCTATTCTCAACCAATTGCACTAATTACATCAGATGATAGATGCCATCTTGCAGTAAACTGGAAGAGCAGCCAGCCAGTCCATCTGGTACTAAACTGTTTGATCATTCCCTGGTACTTGGCAAAAACATTTGTCCCATGTGATGAACTGAAAATAAATGAGATGCTGGAATGCTTGGGTCCTGCTCTCCTTTCTTCCATCCCTTGACAACTTTCACACAAGTACAGGCAGTCAACTCACCAGTTGCAATGGTGGGGTCTTCCTTCCAGTTACAACTATATCCTACTGCCTACATTTTCTATTATTTTGCTATTTATCAGCTTGGAAAGCTCTCTTTTCTCAAGCATTATACTGCAGCAAGGTCTAAATATAAGTCTCGAAAAACTATTTCCTCTTCAAGGCACACAGTTCTCTCAAGGCCTTCTTCACACTACAAAGTTACACTGCCTCAGAAAGCCATTTTAAAAAAGCCCAAAACAACCACGTAAGCCAACTTTTAGGTGGTTGCTACTGGTTTCCACTACAGTGAAACTAAATACAGAATACAAGGAAACAAACAGAAGGTAACATTACTCTAAGTTTCCTTAACAATGTAATAGTGTTAAATCAACACTGGCCTAGAAGGGAAGTGAGTGAGAAGGAAGTTTAGGTATGGTTTTAAAATACCATTTTCCAGAATAATTTCCTGTACAGATATAGTCTGCAAGTCAGAACTATTCTGGGCAGTATCAACATATAAGTAAGCTCATAATAATATACCTCACAATATATGTCTATGCACAAGAACACACACATATACACATAGGAAAGAACACCAAATGGACCATAGGGCACACACAAATAAAACTTGACTGAAAAACTTTAGAGATAAAAAAGGGGATTCTGCAACACCGAGGGCAACTCATCTTTATCTTAAATAATCAGCTGCAAACTGGAATAGGAAACATGTTCACCAGTAAAACAAGGAAAGGACAGACATCTTCTAGGGAAGCAGTGAAAAACTACTTAATCATTATCAGGCTAATAATCATATAATTATGAGCTCTATAAGCTACAATAATAATAATCATTATTACAAAAATAGCC